ACACACACACACACACACACAAACACACGGGTGCGTTCGCACACGCACGTGTATACACACACAAACACACACGGGCGCGTTCGCACACGCACGTGTATACACACACAAACACACGCACATACAAACACACACCTTCATAAATCAAATATAAAATTTCAATAATTCAAAGCATAGAAAAGTTTCCAGCCAACAAATGTTGTCCACTGTCAGTTGGAAATGAGGAATGGAAAACTTGTTCCTGATTTTCTGCCGGGGAAGGAAATTATGAATCTGTCCCAGTCAGGTTATGCGATTGTGCGCCGCGTTTTTTTGTTTTTTTTAAAAATAATTCATCAACATTTGCATAATTTCGGATTCACCGCGTATTTTCACGTTTAGTAAGAAACAAAAAATTTACAAAACAATTTAACGCCTCGCCATGTGACTAAAGGGAAGTAATCACCGTAATAAGTCTCATTTAAGTGACGAGTTGGTTATTTCCCGTGTTAGGATTTTGTTCCTTGAGCCTGTTCAATTTTTCAATCCATCAAAAGTTGTTCTCATGTCTGCTGATGTTTCATGTTTGCCAGGTGTCCCTGCTTTTACTGATGTGCCAGCATCAGGTCCAGATGTCTTTTTTTTTAAAACATTTTTCTTTCCTCTATAGAACTACAGATGTAAGTTAGAGAATATATTTTTTGGTGGTTTTTTTTTTCTTTCTGACTGATGTGTATCTTTCCAAATACACAAAAAATTACTCATACTGATATGTTCTGTTTTCAATTCTTCTGTACATCAAACATGAAAATTCCTTTTGAAAAAGTGCAAAACATGTCGTGATTGACGTTTACGGTAACTTGTATAATTTTTGCATAATTTTGCATTTGTCGTACATAATTTGGCCATCTAAATTTGCATAATTCAGCGGAGACAGATGAATGAGCTATCCTTGTGTCCACAGAGCTGACCCGCATCAACCCAAGTCTCCTCCCTGGCCTGTCCTGCCACTGCTGTGTCCATCATCTCCTCGGTAAGTTGACCACTGCTAGGACAAGAATCTAGGCCGTCCACTTGAACAATACAACGGTTTGTGTTTTTCTACAACAACGCTAAAACCCTCCCCTCCCACCCACCAAATTCCTACTACTCTACCACCCCTCCCCCAACATTTACACCCCCCTCTTACTTCTTACCTATCCCCTGTCATACC